TGATCACGTCTGGTGGCGGAGAAAGATCACGTCCAGATCGCTTCCCGCGGCAGAGCGAGATCGTGCCCGGTGGCGGTTCTGATTGGTGGTGGGGTTAGGGTTGCGGGGGTGGGAGGCGTGACAGGTTTGGGGGTGGGACAACGACGATGCGACCATGGGCTTTGGGGGCAGAGACAAAGGAATAGGATTCCGTTGGAGCAGGTTGGATGCGCGGCGATAACGGAGCGGCGGAAGAATAACTGAGGGAAAGTAGAGGAAGAAGAACTGCGCGGAGCAGAGAAAGACGAACTGGAGAGTAGAGTACTGCACTTCATGGTTGAAGATAAAAAAATAATACTGACTCGGTTCTTTATCAAACCCGATGTCTAAAAAAATAATACTGACTCGGTTCTTTATCAAACCCGATGTCTATACTCATTTTAATATCTCTGTCCAATTCAACCGATGCTGTAGGTCAATTTGAAAAAGGATTATGCCTCGTTTTTAATCATTAACCGAGGTAATTTGGCATTTATGCCTCAGTTCAAGGGGAACCGAGGCTTATAAGTTCATTTAAATTGCAAAAATGCCACCGCCTTTATATATACTTCGGTTTTCTGAAAATCGCAACGTATTATCCGCCTTCTTTTCCGCGTTTTGTACTAGTGGCTTAACAAAAAAAATATTGCTAGGATAAACTCTAACTCATGGCTCAAATATCATGTCAAGAACTGGACTTTAAGCCTAATTGAACTCCACAAAAATATTTTTAAGGTGAAGTTTGTACCCACTTATATACAATAAATCGACCTTATCTTTGATCGATGTGAAACTTTTAATAGTCTCTATGTTGGAGATCTTACATCAACTAGAGTTAAGACAATTTAATAACAATTCCATCAACAAAAGTATTTTTGAGATTAATAGGCATAAGAAGTTGCAAAATTGATCGTCTTATTTTTTATTGTAGGGAAATTTGTTATCATAGAAAATCACATTCCTAGAAACTTCTATGTTATGATCATACATATTAAGCACTACAAAACCTTTAGTATTGCATTTGAAGCTTGAAAATATTTTGGGTTAGTTTTGAGCTCTAACTTATTACTTTGAGCATTAATTGTACTTATATAACAAAGACATCCACACACTTTTATATTGTCAATGTTACTTAATTTTCCATAATGTTTCTCAAAAAGGAAAATATTATCAAGATATAAGAATTCTATTTATCAGAAAAACAGGATGTTTCACATCATAACTCCAAAACGGCCTCCTAAGATTAGCTTGATAAAGTAAAGATATAGTAATATTTAAGATGGGTTGATGTTTCCTTTTTAACAATGAAATTTTATTCAAATATTTCAATGCAAGTAGTTTAATAAATGATGCCATGACTATCATATAAATTATTCATCTTAAATTCTAAACCATTATTAGTTCTTATCCATTTAATGTTTTAATGAAATTAAGTAACATGATGAACAAAATCAATCAAAATTTTTCTAGCCTCCAATTTATTACGCATAAAACAATCACCCTATTTACGATTGGTTTTGATAATATAATTGGTCAAAGTATAAAACTTCATAAGGAATGTTCCACTGTATGAATCTCTTAAGTTAAGGGCTCTAGCAATAACATCTCAAAAGCCTACAACCACTACCTTTATGATATAATACATTTTACCAAAGTTAACTAAATAATATTTGTTAAATATGTCAAGGAATTGTTCTACTCCACTCTCGTATTCATTTGTTGTTCGTATTAAATTTATCCAACTCTCATAACCGAAATAGTGACCTCAAGAAACATGACGTGCAATGTAGTGGTAAAAGAGGCGAGCAAAGAGCTAGATCAGAAGCTGAAAGCTTAGAAGGGAGCTAGAGACGTTAAAGAAGAAGAGTGAGGAAGAGTTGAAAACCATTTAAGCCAAAAATGAATGCATGAAAAACAAAATAGATACTCTTGATTAGTGGAAGGACGAGTCATTGAAAACGTTAATGGAGTGATTTGGAAAAGTAGCATTAGAAATATGAAACCTCAACGCTAAAGTAGTCATGCACCATATGGCAACAACCTTAAAGCTAGGACCGTTCTAAGATAGTATGTTCAAAATTCCAACGCTCACTACAAAAAAATAGATATTACTAACAGTCAAAATCTATTGAAAACGTTACAAAAGTCCAAAGTAATATTTACTGATATAAATTTATATCCATCGATAATTACTGAAGGAATAATTCATGGTAAATATCACGAGCTGGTTCACCTTCTCCCTCCTCTTTCCTTCTTTTTTCTTTTAGCTTTCAATTTTTTTTTCTATGTTCTCCATCACCTTTACATTTATCTTCTTCTCCAACTATGATCCCAACCCAACAACCATCATAACCCAAACTGTTTCAAAATAGAAATAATTTATGAGCAACAACGGAGTAATAAGGTTAGACTATGTAGAGGAGCTTTTTTCTTACTTTTCCATGTGATCAAGTCCTTCCAATGAAACTAAAGTAGTCTAAGGTTACCTTTTTGTTAGTATTCTTTTTAGTCTAGTGAACATCCATAAAACCTTCCACACGTAGGTGATACTTTATATGAGAGCATTTCCAGATGTGGACATTTCTACACCTTTGTTCACCATTGCAAAAGGCTTTTGACGTATGCTATTTTGGACATTCAAGGTCTAACATAGCAGTGAGTTCTTATTGGGAGACGTCAATTTGATGTCAGACGTCCTTAATCGACGTCATTTGACATCGATTTTGACACTAACTGACGTCCCATTTATTTTTTTTAATCTAAATTTATTTTTATACTAGAACCATACCTAAAATACATAAAATGTTCCCATCACATCACAAAATGATATATACTATGCGTTTCAAGTCATTATAATACTAAATAATCCAAAATACTAACAAAAATATTAACCTTCTTAAAGGGTTGAAAATGAAAATCACCAAAAGAGAATGTGCACAAGCAATGGAGAATGGACCCAAGTAATGAAGAGGGAAAGCGTCGTCACCGAGGTCTGAGAACTCGCGCACAAGAACTGCACCAAAAGCCAATGAAAACGAATTTTAATTGGTGCAAATGAAAGATAATGGTTCCAAATGTAATATATTTGATGCAAAATGATTTTAAAGGGTGCAAAGTAGAAGAAAACTTACCTTAATGTTAATAGCGAACGAGAGAAAGTAGAGGAAGAAGATGAACGAAACGAGAGAGAAAACACGTAATTGGTGCTCGCATTCTAGAGTGGGTGAAAATGCAGGGTATTTGACGTCAGCCCCGCTCCCAGCCAACTTCAAAGTGCTCTAAGACTTCGACCCCCCTTCCCAGCCGATGTCTAAGTGGTAAAAAAAATTTAATATTCGCGCCCAAAATGAGGTAATTTCGCACCTTTTTTACGTCTGTGGGGAGGGGCGTCGATGTCTAAGTGGCAAAAAAAATTAATATTGACACCAAATGAGGTAATTTCGCACCTTTTTTATGTCTGTGGGAAGGGGAGTTGACGTCTAAGCCAGAAAAAAAATTAATATTGACACTTAAAATGAGATATTTTTGAATATTTTTTACGTCTATGGAAGGAAGAGTCGACTTCTAATTCGAATTAGACACTGGGGGCCTGTAGCCAACGTCTAAAAGTAATAAAATAATTACTTTTCAGTTCTTTGTGCAAACCATTTGATGTCTGACCCTGGAGAACCGACGTTTATACCTTATTTGACGTCAGAGACCCATTTAACTGACTTCTTTAGTGACATTTTATTGACAAAACTACCACCGATTATTTCTTACGTTGAATTTCCTTTCGTTAAAAGTTAAATGTGTGACATTAAATGTTATTGGTTATAATGATAAATACACCTTTATTATATAGTAATAAATAAACCATATGTTTGTGTAAGAAAATAGATGTATCTTTTCACTATAACAGAGGTATTAATTGTGATACAAACTTCATGCGGATAAACTAGTTTTATACATATGCTATGTTAACAAAAGTTAATAAGCTAAACAATACTTATCTCCCTTTTTCTATTGGCACTTAGTTTGAGAATTTCTCCAAATTATAATTATGAACAGTTGGAGTATTTCTAAATTTATACTATATGTATATGAGGCTAGCTCGACCTATATATAGATATTTAAAGTCTTTTTTTAATGTCATTATTACTCTTAATGATCGAAATCTTTTTATCACACATGATTGAGATGATCTCGACCTATATTATATTGAAACATAGATAGTCATAAACACTTGTTGACATCATCGTTTTGTCTGGAGATGACTAAGAACATTTTGACCTCATTGTATTATAAAAAAGAGAGGTTAAGAGCTAAAGTGTACTAACAATATAATTAAACATATTAGTTATATAATTATTTATATGGTCCATGTCCAATCAAATAAGGATTCATAAATTTAATATAAATAATATTGTTTATGAGATAATTAATCGTGTTTATTATTTTGTATTATTTATTAACATCTCACAAATATATTGGATTAAATGTGAAAGTATTTTTTGTCGACACACTTTCACTTAGTTAAGGATGAAATCACACTAGTAAAAATTACGCTCTTTAAATTGCCCAATAGGCTTCGGTTTATGGAAAACCGAAGCCTATCAAAACGCGGTAATATTGTCGTAATTAAGCCGAACTTATAGGCATCGATTCCTTCTTAGCCGAAGCATAAAGGAGATATGACCTCGGTTAACAAGGCACTCGAGGCCGAAAGATCTGTCCATCCTCTCTTCAAAACCTGCTATGCTGCCTACTACGCCTGACCAGTCAGACCTAAGGCCTCGGTTGGCCAAGGAACCGAGGTCGTTCGGTCTGAAGGCATCGGTTAGCCTAGGAACCGAGGTCATTGGTCCTTGATATTTTCTCCCGCATGACCGTTCCTCTTCCATCTCCCATTTCCTATTTCTTTCTCTTGTTTCTCTTTCTTCTCTATGCTCCAACCTAATGCGCTTCCGCTACAACCAGAACACAACAACCACCACCAGGAGATGGGTGTGGGTGGAACTGCAGATTTTTTCTACAAGGAGGCTCAACGGCTAAGCTACGTGGCTCCCTCCGCCTTCAAACTTCTTCAGATTCAGGTTTGCACTCCCGATCTCGATCGTGGTGCCACCGTTCTCGACCTCGGTTGCGTTCTCGGAAGGTGGCTCAAGGTGGCTTGTCAGAGCTTAGGACCCTTCCACGGAAGAGGCTCCGTCCTCGGCGTCGACACCAAAAAAGTCAAGGTTCTCTTGCAAGTTTCGATTCTAGGGTTTAGACCATCCCTTGCCGGTTTTGATTTCTGGATGACGCTTTGTAGGTTGAAAATTGTTGATGAGGATGAATGGAGGTTGCGCGAAGTGAGGTTGGGGGAAACAATTTGATTTAGGGTTTGGTGACGGCGACATTGACAGTGAAGATTGGGGGAAATTGTTTGCTCCTGCCACGAAGGAAAGATGGTGCTCTGCCACGAGTTCTCTGCGCACAATGAAAGGAGGTTGTCACGATTTGCGTGGACGCTGGCGATGGCTACTTCGAAGGCGGTGGTGGCGCGATCTGCTGGTTGCCTTTTTGATTGCAGGTTGTGCGAAGGAGAGAGAGAGCTCTCGTGGTGGTCATGGCGGCGACCTCATGGAGCTCGCGAGGTGTTGTGGCACGATTGTTGATGGCGGTGGCACGATGCGGCACAATGTGGTTGCTAATGGTGCACGAGAAGCGTGGTTATGGGTGGCGGTTGTCGCAGCGACGTCCTAGTTCTCTTGCTTGGTTTCTATTTTCTACAGGTTGCCATGGATAGCAGTGTGATTCTGGAGAATGTCGTTGGAGAAGAAGACTTCGCGTGGTGGCCTGTGGTGGTCCGATAAAGGTGGCACGGTTGTTGGGTGGTGGTCTGACGTGAGAATGGAGTGTTGAAGATTGGTGGGCACGTTATCAAGCTTCTCGGAGAGTGAAGATGCTAAAGTGCTAACTTGCTTACTGACCCACTTGGAGAACTCGAACAACGTAAGAAACAACTTTTTACAGACAAAAGTAAAAAACACACCATTCTACTGCCTCGGTTCAGAAGGAACCGAGGCGAAAATTCCTTAAAAAAAATTAAAAAAAACCCTACTGCTTCGGTTTTGAATCGAGACATAATACCTACCCGTTTTTACCTCGTTTGTATGTGCCTCGATTCAGGAACCGTTGTTTGTGGATGAAAACAACCGATGTCGTTTCCCTTTACTGCACTAGTGTCAGAGTTTAAAGACATCTCAATTAGGAGATTGAAGAGTGAAAGCCAGTAAAGAACTTTTTATGGAGCCTTTGCACTGTGCTTTCGATCTTACAAACACACTTATGGAAGAAAAAAGTTCAACTTTTGATATAAGATCTCATATTTCTTTTAAGACAAGAAGATACCTTGTTTTTTATCTAACCATTTAAATCCCTAGAAAATATTTCAAGTTCTTCAAACATTTTTTTTATCTCAAAATTAATTCTCAATTATGTATTGTTATCTTTTTTTTAGTTATCTTTAATGATGATCATATCGCCAACATGCACTATTAATGTAATTAATTTACTTGCTTGAGATGCTTTAAGAAGTTTGATTTTTTTGTTGTTGAAAATCATATTTTTTTCATGTTATTTATAGTCATTTTTCTCACAAACGTCTTTATGTATGTTTTTCAAAACTAAGAGGAGTAATATCTATGTGAGGTTGCATAAATTGTTCATGTTGAAACCATTTTGAAAATCTCTAATAAAAAATATATTGCCTTCTTTTTATTTCTATTTGATATTTTTTCTTCACTCAGAAAAAATAGTCTATGACCCTTCACATTAAAACTTGACAAGTTCATGTAAGAAATTCATTAACTATATCAAATAACATGACATGTATATGAAAAGACTAATAAAAAAATAGTCAATCGCTTGAACCTCTTTAGACCTTAATAATCTTAAATCTTCCATGAACAGACTAAGAAAAATAAAATTTATATCACTTTTGTTATTGTCTTAGACATGAAATTGTCATAAATAACATAATTCATTTATGCTTCATGCAAAAACTTAAAATTAAATTATAAATTATTACCAAAATAAACCATAAACTAGAATTAGTATTTAAATTGCTAAAGAGGTCATTTCATTAGTAGGTAACCTAAGCTTTTTTCATTCTTGTGTTTATCAGTATTTATTCTTTACATAATACTTATTTTGTTTTTGTCTTGTCATAATTTTATCTTCTTCCTTCTTTTTATCTAATGTTTAACCACTAAACCATAAATCCTTCAAACTTTAAACTTAAATATATGATAAATATTTTCTATATTGCAACCATACATTTTTCATAAAGAAAATATAGAATGGTTATACATTGATACCACCAAATAAATAAACATTCATTTAACAACTTAAAATAATATTATTTCTATTATATTTATTTTACTTTTTAACTTAAAATTCTAAAATATATTGTTATATTATTAAAGAGCATTGTCTGTCAAAACATTATTTTTCAAAAATATAATGTCTCCTGTTATTATTTTTAGTTAATTTATATAATTTCAAATTTATAATATTTGATCAATTGTTAGATTTTCTTTATTAACTTAACATATAAATTTAAATATTTTATTTGAATCTCCAAAATTAAGTTCTAGCTAAACTCCTTAAAGGGCATTAAGGGATTTGTTCTTTCTAATTTTTTACAAGCAAGCATATGGTACCTCTCTTTTCACCTGGGGATATTGATGGATTCTTCTTTAAACTATATAAAGGAAGTTTGAATTTACCACCCAGTTCATTTTATTAATAATGGAGGTTCTCGATCATGCCTGTTGATATGCTATCTTTGCCGGTGAGTTCATCACACGCAATATAGTTTTAGTGACTGAAAATTGACAACAATCTATTGCCTGAATTATCTGCAGATGGTTCCTACGGATTTCCTATGATGATGAGCAAGCCTGTGATGTTGATCCAGGCTGAAAGATAAAAATCGATATAAGTGTTAATAGAGAGAACTGTATACTAAATGTTTATTTATGCTTTCCGGAAAAAAGAAGTTAATTGCTTTACCACACAGGTATGAACATCATCACATCCACACAACAGCTTTCCATTGAGAGTGTCTACAGCCTGAAATGATCCTCCTCCCTCACTCCTCTGCATAATGAGCCCTCCATATTATAAGAATAATGATTATATGGGCTAAAAAATGTTTATGCCTTAGCAACAGAATATAGAATAAGAGAACAAAACTAGCCTAAAACCAACCTTGTAATAATCAACAGCAACAAAATTAGCCCACCGGTTACCAGCAGCACCATAACAAGTGTGTATCATGTTAATTAGTTCTCCTGAGTTATCTTCACATGTGATTGGTTTAATTGGAACGGATCGAAAGTAGTTTACCAACACCAACGATTTGCTTTTATCGTTAAGAGGAGATGATTCTGCCCTGTTTGGACAGCTTCCTGCTTTCCTACCACCATCTCCATCTGCACAATTCAAGATAAGAACATGATCAAAAAGAAAGTTGGCAACAAGAGAAAAAGCAAAATTCTAAGAACGAAATTGGTTTAATGGGTGGTATCTACTCACACTGATTTTCAACCATGAAATTCCACTGATAAGCAATGCCTTCACTTTGTTCCTTAGACTTGATAGAAGTGAAGACTAGTAATCTTTGGTTTTTGGCAACCATATCACTCACCGGAGGCCAATCTTGACCATTTCTTGGCATGCTTGCCAGTGGAAACCAATACTTCATCAGACCAGCTTCAGTGAAGACCTTTGTCAAACCATTTGTGGCATGAACATAATCTTCCAAAATAACCGTGACAATTTCAGCTGGATTTGCTGATAGAAAAGCTTCAATTTCCTTCAGTGTGTCTATGGCGGGTTCCTGCTAGTTCATCACAAGTTAGGATCTTGTAGTAACCAATGATTTTTCAAACTTGTTTCCTTCATAAATAAGGTTGCAAAACATAGAACAAAAACAATTAGGTGGATGATTTTACATACAAAAGCTGTGACGTCATGACATTGGCCTTCAAATGAATGGCATAACCACACATCTCCGTCAAAATCATACGTATCTAGCATTAGTGCCCGCACTCCATTCTACAAGTCAAACATTTCTTATGAGAATCCTAGCATTAGAAAAGTAATGATATTTTAAGCTATAATTAACTGTAGTGAATAGAATACATTTAGCTGTTGGGTGACTGTGTCTTCCTGGTTTGTGATAGTTATTCGAGGCACGCCTGTGTGAGATGGCTCCCCATCAATCGCATAAGCGTTGTGCGTTGTCAAAAAAGCATATTTGTTGAATGGTAGAGAATTATTCTATCAGAAAAAAAAAGCAATTAACGAGAGAGATTATGATCAAATATCTTTTTTTTTCTTTGACCAGATGAAAAAAATAAATCAAACATTTTTTTATCTATCTTTCAAACTTACATGACTCATAAATTTACTGATCTCATTTTATTTTTCAGTTGCTGAATAAGCAGTAAATTTTTAACAGATAGTCAGTATGATCATTTCCACATGATCATTTGTATCACTACATTAATTGGTTCACTATGATCGTGCCTATTGTTAATGATTGTGACGAAATATAACAGTGGTGATATAATATAGTGGCTATGAGACCAATTTCACCCAAACAAGAACAATGTAATCCAAGTTTGTCATACCTATAATTATCTCTCTTAATCAAATTATTGGTTTTCTTCTCTTTCCATCTTGCTGTGAAAGATATTTTGAAAATTAGGTTTAAGTCTTTGTCAGTTATGCGTTTGCATAATCGAAGTCAACGCGTTCGTGAAAGTTAGGGAAAAGGTATAGAGAGATAGATATCTTACTATGAGCTTGAATTGATTTGTTACAGTTGATCTAACACACCTAGAACCTGAAAACCCCAATGGACAGGAAAAACAGTAGAGCCCAGCGCCACAATCTCCATCCGACGAACACTCATCAAGAAGCTACAATGTTCAAAGATTAGTTTGAAACCAACAAGAGATGAAAACAAGAAAACATAAACAACGTAATAAATTGACCAAGTAGTAGAATGGGAATACAAACCTTGCACGTTCCATTAGAACAAGCAGCAGCAATATTGTAAAGAAGCGGAAGAATAGCCACAGGCAAGAACAGAAGAGAACTCATTGGGACAATGATCCAAGAAAAGAACAACCGCACGGAATACAATGACGATATGAATAATGGGTTTTATTCTGTCTCGGCTGAGAAAACTAAGGAAATCATAGGAGCGAACCATTGTGGTCCCTGAACTTTAAATTAATATTTTCGGTAACGCTTATTATACACCATCGAATAATTAATTACAACGAAAAGTTAAAGTTTTGATTAATATTTATCATGG